TTTAATTTATTAACTACACGTGCATATAGGTCTACGTTGTAGCTAGTCTTTTTACAGACTAAAGAAACTGACCAAGTAGATCAGCACCTTTGGTTAATTATTCATATATATAATGAAAAGACTTATTGTCTTTATTCTCGTAATCTAATCTATCATAAATCTACACGAGATCTAATAGTTAGTAGTTATCAGTGCTATACTGTTGAATTCACACTAGACTGCCGTGTATGTTTTAACACCTATTTGATAATATACCAATGTCTCCATGTTTAACAATTGAAGAGGTTTGTGTAGATACCATGTCGGGTCTATGCATGAATATAACAGGAACCATTCTGTTTTCCCTTGTACGTGATCTCTTGAAATAAATCGGCATCACGTCTTTTTACATCTGTTTCACAGTATAATGATTGTATACTAAAGCCTCCCGTGGTGGGGTATTGTGAATCAATGTCTTCGGCTTAATGATTAATTATCATGTTGCCAATATTCTTATTGTTTTTTAAACCAATATATGGTTTGGATTTAGATAGTTTGTTTTTTTTTTTTTTTTTTTTTTTTTTTGGCAATCGGATCTTTCCGAATTATATACCAAATTTTGTTATTACCGTGTTAAGATATTCAAGATATTTCTGCCACTTGTTTTCAAATATTTGGTTTCTTTCGAAGTTGCTGTCTGCATCTATGCTAACTCAGCCTAACTGTATTTGTTAGGGAGGAATCCGCAAGACATTTACACTTTAGACCGTATTTACACGTTTATCTTATAAGTACATGTTGCTATTGATTCTAAGAATTCTCGTACCTTCAGAAGGAATGAAAACAATGTACTATTTCAAATAATTGTTCACTTTGTTCACCTTCTTCATTAAATATATTAAATCCATCAATTCTCATTCTTTAGTGGAATTTAATATTATTTTCGTAGGGTATTTCTCTGTTTTATGTCTATAATTATGGTTAAATATAGCAATATCAGATATTTCCAGGGAGGCAACTCTGCCCATTGAAACGCCAACGATCTGTTGCTAGTATAATAGTATTACTTTCGTTGTTCATTGACAATCATATTTATTTGTTATTAGTTTCCATGTAACCTTCAACGGCTTGACATAATAATTATTATCGATATTAGTTGCTTAACGTCCTGTTGCCAATATTTCATGTATGTTTAGGACTGTGATATAGTGATGACATAAGGTTGTTTGCTAGTATAATAGTATAACTTCCATAGTTCGTTGACAATCATATTAGTTATAGTTAGTTTTCATGCTACCTTCTAAGGTTTGACATGATACAGCGATAAATTAACGATTTTTGGTTGCTTAGCATCCAGTGACAAATATTTCATGTATGTTAAGGAATATGATATAGTGATGACATAAGGTTGTTTGCTAGTATAATAGTATAACTTCCATAGTTCATTGACAATCATATTAGTTTGTAGTTAGTTTTCATGCTACCTTGTAAGGTTTGACATGATATAGCGATAAATTAAAGATTTTTAGCTGCTAAGCATCCAGTGGCAAATATTTCATGTATGTTTAGGACTATGATATAGTGATGACATACGGTTGTTTGCTAATATAATAGTACAACTTCCATAGTTCATTGACAATCATATTAGTTTGTAGTAAGTTTCCATGCTACCTTCTAAGGTTTGGCATGATACAGCGATAGATTAAAGATTGTTGGTTGCTTAGTCTCCAGTGGCAAATATTTCATGTATGTTTAGGACTATGATATAGTGATGACATAAGGTTGTTTGCTAGTATAATAGTATAACTTCCATAGTTCATTGACAATCATATTAGTTTGTAGTTAGTTTCCATGCTACCTTCTAAGGTTTGACACGATACAGCGATGAATTATTGATTGTGGTTACTTAAAGTCCAGTGACAAATATTTCATGTATGTTTTAGACGATGATATATATAGTGATAACATAAGGTTGTTTGCTAGTATAATAGTATAACTTCCATAGTTCATTGACAATCATATTAGTTTGTAGTTAGTTTTCATGATACCTTCTAAGGTTTGACATGATACAGCATCCAGTGGCAAATATACCCTGTATGTTTAGGACTATGATATAGTGATGACATAAGGTTGCTTGCTAGTATAATAGTATAACTTCCATAGTTCATTGACAATCATATTAGTTTGTAGTTAGTTTCCATGCTACCTTCTAAGGTTTGACATGATATAGCGATAAATTAACGATTGTTTGTTGCTTAGCATCCAGTGGCAAATATTTCATGTATGTTTAGGACTATGATATAGTGATGACATAAGGTTGTTTGCTAGTATAATAGTATAACTTCCATAGATCATTGACAATCATATTAGTTTGTAGTTAGTTTTCATGATACCTTCTAAGGTTTGACATGATACAGCGATAAATTAAAGTTTGTTGGTTGCTTAGCATCCAGTGGCAAATATTTCATGTACGTTTAGAACTATGATACATATAGTGATGAAACAAGGATGTTTGCTAGTATAATAGTATAACTTCCATAGTTCATTGACAATCATATTAGTTTGTAGTTAATTTTCATGCTACCTTCTAAGGTTTGACATGAAATAGTGATGAATTGAAGATTTGTTGGTTGCTTAGCATCCAGTGGCAAATATTTCATGTATGTTTAGAAATATGATACATATAGTGGTGGAACAAGGTTGTTTGCTAGTATAATAGTATAACTTCCATAGTTCATTGACAATCATATTATTGTAATTAGTTTCCATGCTACCTTCTTAGGTTTGACATGAAACATCGATGAACTAAAGATTTGTTGGTTGCTTAGCATCCAGTGGCAAATATTTCACGTATGTTTAGGACTATGATATAGTGATGACATAAGGTTGTTTGCTAGTATAAAAGTATAACTTCCATAGTTCATTGACAATCATATTAGTTTGTAGTTAGTTTTCATGCTACCTTCTAGGGTTTGACATGATACAGCGATGAATTGAAGATTTGTTGGTTGCTTAGCATCCAGTGGCAAATATTTCATGTATGTTTAGGACTATGATATAGTGATGACATAAGGTTGTTTGCTAGTATAATAGTATAACTTCCATAGTTCATTGACAATCATATTAGTTTGTAGTTAGTTTCCATGCTACCTTCTGAGGTTTGACATGATTCAGCGATGAATTAAAGATTTGTTGGTTGCTTAGCATCCAGTGGCAAATATTTCATGTATGTTTAGAAGTATGATACATATAGTGGTGAAACAAGGTTGTTTGCTAGTATAATAGTATAACTTCCATAGTTCATTGACAATCCATGCTACCTTCTAAGGTTTGACACGATACAGCGATGAATTATTGATTGTGGTTACTTAAAGTCCAGTGACAAATATTTCATGTATGTTTTAGACGATGATATATATAGTGATAACATAAGGTTGTTTGCTAGTATAATAGTATAACTTCCCTTAGCTAGTTCATTTACAATCATATCAGTTTGTAATTATTTTCCATGTTACCTTCTTAGGTTTAACATAGTGATGAATTATTGATTGTTGATTGCTATACGTCCAATTGCAATTATTTCAAGTATGTTTAAGGACTATGTTGACATAAGGTTGTTTGCTAGTATAATAGTATAACTTCCATGTTTCAGTCAAATATTATTCGGTATCATTTTCCAATATATATATATATATATATATATATATATATATATATATATATATATCAGTGTCTTGTATGTTATATGCATACATTTTGTTTCTGTATTATTTTATTTTTATTCATTACTTTATTGTTTCAGGTATAATATCTTTGTTTCATATGTAAATAGTGATAGCTATATAGTAGATCTATGTTATTTACATAATTAGTTACATGTATATTTTATAAGATGTACAGTGTTATATACATAAAGAAAGATGTACAGTATTATATACATACAGAATTGTATACTATTACATTGTGCATATAGTATAGTGTCGAACGTAGTTTCTCGATCAGAAATACGTCGTACCATAGCATAAATAAGGATCAAAAATTCTATAATTAAATAGAACCTGATTCAACGGGTGAGATCACAACTAGTGAAATATTCACCGTATCAAATTGTTTTATAAAAAGACCATAAACCTACTTATTCATGGTATGGTATCAATATTTCTGATCTGACACTACGTACTTTTTATTGCTTAATTCTTTAGAATTTAATATGCAATGTTTCGGGTTCTTTCGGGAGTATTCCCAGGTAAACCCTCATCAGAGGCCGACCTTTAGCTATTTATTTCGTATCTAGTATCATAGATAGATGTGTGTCTGTTTCATAACAGTTTTTTTTATTTAATTTATTAACTACACGTGCATATAGGTCTACGTTGTAGCTAGTCTTTTTACAGACTAAAGAAACTGACCAAGTAGATCAGCACCTTTGGTTAATTATTCATATATATAATGAAAAGACTTATTGTCTTTATTCTCGTAATCTAATCTATCATAAATCTACACGAGATCTAATAGTTAGTAGTTATCAGTGCTATACTGTTGAATTCACACTAGACTGCCGTGTATGTTTTAACACCTATTTGATAATATACCAATGTCTCCATGTTTAACAATTGAAGAGGTTTGTGTAGATACCATGTCGGGTCTATGCATGAATATAACAGGAACCATTCTGTTTTCCCTTGTACGTGATCTCTTGAAATAAATCGGCATCACGTCTTTTTACATCTGTTTCACAGTATAATGATTGTATACTAAAGCCTCCCGTGGTGGGGTATTGTGAATCAATGTCTTCGGCTTAATGATTAATTATCATGTTGCCAATATTCTTATTGTTTTTTAAACCAATATATGGTTTGGATTTAGATAGTTTGTTTTTTTTTTTTTTTTTTTTGGCAATCGGATCTTTCCGAATTATATACCAAATTTTGTTATTACCGTGTTAAGATATTCAAGATATTTCTGCCACTTGTTTTCTAATATTTGGTTTCTTTCGAAGTTGCTGTCTGCATCTATGCTACCTCAGCCTAACTGTATTTGTTAGGGAGGAATCCGCAAGACATTTACACTTTAGACCGTATTTATACGTTTATCTTATAAGTACATGTTGCTATTGATTCTAAGAATTCTCGTACCTTCAGAAGGAATGAAAACAATGTACTATTTCAAATAATTGTTCACTTTGTTCACCTTCTTCATTAAATATATTAAATCCATCAATTCTCATTCTTTAGTGGAATTTAATATTATTTTCGTAGGGTATTTCTCTGTTTTATGTCTATAATTATGGTTAAATATAGCAATATCAGATATTTCCAGGGAGGCAACTCTGCCCATTGAAACGCCAACGATCTGTTGCTAGTATAATAGTATTACTTTCGTTGTTCATTGACAATCATATTTATTTGTTATTAGTTTCCATGTAACCTTCAACGGCTTGACATAATAATTATTATCGATATTAGTTGCTTAACGTCCTGTTGCCAATATTTCATGTATGTTTAGGACTGTGATATAGTGATGACATAAGGTTGTTTGCTAGTATAATAGTATAACTTCCATAGTTCGTTGACAATCATATTAGTTATAGTTAGTTTTCATGCTACCTTCTAAGGTTTGACATGATACAGCGATAAATTAACGATTTTTGGTTGCTTAGCATCCAGTGACAAATATTTCATGTATGTTAAGGAATATGATATAGTGATGACATAAGGTTGTTTGCTAGTATAATAGTATAACTTCCATAGTTCATTGACAATCATATTAATTTGTAGTTAGTTTCAATGCTACCTTGTAAGGTTTGACATGATATAGCGATAAATTAAAGATTTTTAGCTGCTAAGCATCCAGTGGCAAATATTTCATGTATGATTAGGACTATGATATAGTGATGACATACGGTTGTTTGCTAGTATTATAGTACAACTTCCATAGTTCATTGACAATCATATTAGTTTGTAGTAAGTTTCCATGCTACCTTCTAAGGTTTGGCATGATACAGCGATAGATTAAAGATTGTTGGTTGCTTAGTCTCCAGTGGCAAATATTTCATGTATGTTTAGGACTATGATATAGTGATGACATAAGGTTGTTTGCTAGTATAATAGTATAACTTCCATAGTTCATTGACAATCATATTAGTTTGTAATTAGTTTCCATGCTACCTTCTAAGGTTTGACACGATACAGCGATGAGTTATTGATTGTGGTTACTTAAAGTCCAGTGACAAATATTTCATGTATGTTTTAGACGATGATATATATAGTGATAACATAAGGTTGTTTGCTAGTATCATAGTATAACTTCCATAGTGCATTGACAATCATATTAGTTTGTAGTTTGTTTTCATGATACCTTCTAAGGTTTGACATGATACAGCATCCAGTGGCAAATATACCCTGTATGTTTAGGACTATGATATAGTGATGACATAAGGTTGCTTGCTAGTATAATAGTATAACTTCCATAGTTCATTGACAATCATATTAGTTTGTAGTTAGTTTCCATGCTACCTTCTAAGGTTTGACATGATATAGCGATAAATTAACGATTGTTGGTTGCTTAGCATCCAGTGGCAAATATTTCATGTATGTTTAGGACTATGATATAGTGATGACATAAGGTTGTTTGCTAGTATAATAGTATAACTTCCATAGATCATTGACAATCATATTAGTTTGTAGTTAGTTTTCATGATACCTTCTAAGGTTTGACATGATACAGCGATAAATTAAAGTTTGTTGGTTGCTTAGCATCCAGTGGCAAATATTTCATGTACGTTTAGAACTATTATACATATAGTGATGAAACAAGGATGTTTGCTAGTATAATAGTATAACTTCCATAGTTCATTGACAATCATATTAGTTTGTAGTTAATTTTCATGCTACCTTCTAAGGTTTGACATGAAATAGTGATGAATTGAAGATTTGTTGGTTGCTTAGCATCCAGTGGCAAATATTTCATGTATGTTTAGAAATATGATACATATAGTGGTGGAACAAGGTTGTTTGCTAGTATAATAGTATAACTTCCATAGTTCATTGACAATCATATTATTGTAATTAGTTTCCATGCTACCTTCTAAGGTTTGACATGAAACATCGATGAACTAAAGATTTGTTGGTTGCTTAGCATCCAGTGGCAAATATTTCACGTATGTTTAGGACTATGATATAGTGATGACATAAGGTTGTTTGCTAGTATAAAAGTATAACTTCCATAGTTCATTGACAATCATATTAGTTTGTAGTTAGTTTTCATGCTACCTTCTAGGGTTTGACATGATACAGCGATGAATTGAAGATTTGTTGGTTGCTTAGCATCCAGTGGCAAATATTTCATGTATGTTTAGGACTATGATATAGTGATGACATAAGGTTGTTTGCTAGTATAATAGTATAACTTCCATAGTTCATTGACAATCATATTAGTTTGTAGTTAGTTTCCATGCTACCTTCTGAGGTTTGACATGATTCAGCGATGAATTAAAGATTTGTTGGTTGCTTAGCATCCAGTGGCAAATATTTCATGTATGTTTAGAAGTATGATACATATAGTGGTGAAACAAGGTTGTTTGCTAGTATAATAGTATAACTTCCATAGTTCATTGACAATCCATGCTACCTTCTAAGGTTTGACACGATACAGCGATGAATTATTGATTGTGGTTACTTAAAGTCCAGTGACAAATATTTCATGTATGTTTTAGACGATGATATATATAGTGATAACAATAGGTTGTTTGCTAGTATAATAGTATAACTTCCCTTAGCTAGTTGATTTACAATCATATCAGTTTGTAATTATTTTCCATGTTACCTTCTTAGGTTTAACATAGTGATGAATTATTGATTGTTGATTGCTATACGTCCAATTGCAATTATTTCAAGTATGTTTAAGGACTATGTTGACATAAGGTTGTTTGCTAGTATAATAGTATAACTTCCATGTTTCAGTCAAATATGATTCGGTATCATTTTCCAATATATATATATATATATATATATATCAGTGTCTTGTATGTTATATGCATACATTTTGTTTCTGTATTATTTTATTTTATTTTTATTCATTACTTTATTGTTTCAGGTATATCTTTGTTTCATATGTAAATAGTGATAGCTATATAGTAGATCTATGTTATTTACATAATTAGTTACATGTATATTTTATAAGATGTACAGTGTTATATACATAAAGAAAGATGTACAGTATTATATACATATAGAATTGTATACTATTACATTGTGCATATAGTATAGTGTCGTACGTAGTTTCTCGATCAGAAATACGTCGTACCATAGCATAAATAAGGATCAAAAATTCTATAATTAAATAGAACCTGATTCAACGGGTGAGATCACAACTAGTGAAATATTCACCGTATCAAATTGTTTTATAAAAAGACCATAAACCCACTTATTCATGGTATGGTATCAATATTTCTGACCTGACACTACGTACTTTTTATTGCTTAATTCTTTAGAATTTAATATGCAATGTTTCGGGTTCTTTCGGGAGTATTCCCAGGTAAACCCTCATCAGAGGCCGACCTTTAGCTATTTATTTCGTATCTAGTATCATAGATAGATGTGTGTCTGTTTCATAACAGTTTTTTTTATTTAATTTATTAACTACACGTGCATATAGGTCTACGTTGTAGCTAGTCTTTTTACAGACTAAAGAAACTGACCAAGTAGATCAGCACCTTTGGTTAATTATTCATATATATAATGAAAAGACTTATTGTCTTTATTCTCGTAATCTAATCTATCATAAATCTACACGAGATCTAATAGTTAGTAGTTATCAGTGCTATACTGTTGAATTCACACTAGACTGCCGTGTATGTTTTAACACCTATTTGATAATATACCAATGTCTCCATGTTTAACAATTGAAGAGGTTTGTGTAGATACCATGTCGGGTCTATGCATGAATATAACAGGAACCATTCTGTTTTCCCTTGTACGTGATCTCTTGAAATAAATCGGCATCACGTCTTTTTACATCTGTTTCACAGTATAATGATTGTATACTAAAGCCTCCCGTGGTGGGGTATTGTGAATCAATGTCTTCGGCTTAATGATTAATTATCATGTTGCCAATATTCTTATTGTTTTTTAAACCAATATATGGTTTGGATTTAGATAGTTTGTTTTTTTTTTTTTAGTTTTTTTGGCAATCGGATCTTTCCGAATTATATACCAAATTTTGTTATTACCGTGTTAAGATATTCAAGATATTTCTGCCACTTGTTTTCTAATATTTGGTTTCTTTCGAAGTTGCTGTCTGCATCTATGCTAACTCAGCCTAACTGTATTTGTTAGGGAGGAATCCGCAAGACATTTACACTTTAGACCGTATTTATACGTTTATCTTATAAGTACATGTTGCTATTGATTCTAAGAATTCTCGTACCTTCAGAAGGAATGAAAACAATGTACTATTTCAAATAATTGTTCACTTTGTTCACCTTCTTCATTAAATATATTAAATCCATCAATTCTTATTCTTTAGTGGAATTTAATATTATTTTCGTAGGGTATTTCTCTGTTTTATGTCTATAATTATGGTTAAATATAGCAATATCAGATATTTCCAGGGAGGCAACTCTGCCCATTGAAACGCCAACGATCTGTTGCTAGTATAATAGTATTACTTTCGTTGTTCATTGACAATCATATTTATTTGTTATTAGTTTCCATGTAACCTTCAACGGCTTGACATAATAATTATTATCGATATTAGTTGCTTAACGTCCTGTTGCCAATATTTCATGTATGTTTAGGACTGTGATATAGTGATGACATAAGGTTGTTTGCTAGTATAATAGTATAACTTCCATAGTTCGTTGACAATCATATTAGTTATAGTTAGTTTTCATGCTACCTTCTAAGGTTTGACATGATACAGCGATAAATTAACGATTTTTGGTTGCTTAGCATCCAGTGACAAATATTTCATGTATGTTAAGGAATATGATATAGTGATGACATAAGGTTGTTTGCTAGTATAATAGTATAACTTCCATAGTTCATTGACAATCATATTAATTTGTAGTTAGTTTCCATGCTACCTTGTAAGGTTTGACATGATATAGCGATAAATTAAAGATTTTTAGCTGCTAAGCATCCAGTGGCAAATATTTCATGTATGTTTAGGACTATGATATATTGATGACATACGGTTGTTTGCTAGTATAATAGTACAACTTCCATAGTTCATTGACAATCATATTAGTTTGTAGTAAGTTTCCATGCTACCTTCTAAGGTTTGGCATGATACAGCGATAGATTGAAGATTGTTGGTTGCTTAGTCTCCAGTGGCAAATATTTCATGTATGTTTAGGACTATGATATAGTGATGACATAAGGTTGTTTGCTAGTATAATAGTATAACTTCCATAGTTCATTGACAACCATATTAGTTTGTAGTTAGTTTCCATGCTACCTTCTAAGGTTTGACACGATACAGCGATGAATTATTGATTGTAGTTACTTAAAGTCCAGTGACAAATATTTCATGTATGTTTTAGACGATGATATATATAGTGATAACATAAGGTTGTTTG